ACATCTTAAAGTGCCTATATACACGTGCTCTCGCTATACGCGCGGGAATTTCATTTTTTTTTCTTTTCTTTTGCCAATATAACCGAGCGTCGCTGTGTCTACGTGTGTGCAGACATTATTCGCGTGCACGTGCATGTCACTGGACAACAACGCACGGAAAGCGGACGAGAGTTTACCGTTATTATACGCGCATAAAAGAGCTACATACAGATATACAGAGCGACGGGAAGAATGTGGTAGTAGGGGAGAGAGAGAGAGAGAGAGAGAAAGCAGTACATAACAAGCAACGAACAATGCCGCCGAGTGGAGATGGTCCGGCTAAGTTGAGCTTCCGGCGATTCGCTGACTTCCTACATACACGCACACACACAGGGCCGAGGAATAGGCAGCGGTACAGCTGCAGTAGGACAGCAGTCGTGGTCGGCCTGGCTGTAGTCTGGCGTGAAATTTTCAAACGAGGCGCAGATAGGCGCTAACAGCAATGAACGCTAATTACCTTCGGCGCTAGGTCGCGGAGCAGCAGTTGTCCTCTATTGCTTCGAGCTAAATCCGGAGGCAAGAGGCGGACGCTACACAGCTCTTCTGAATTATCGTTTGCCGATTGCCGGCCTCTATTTTGTCCTGGCTACGGCGTTGCTTCGATCTGTCCATTCTGATTGGATTACTTGCACGCGCCGAGCCTATCCGACTGACTTCCAGCTATCCCAATTTCTCGACCCTCTGCCGACAAATTTTCTTATTTCCCGCTGGGTGACAGTACGCCCATCACGATCGAGCTCATCCCTGCCGAAACTCGCGATCACTCTGACGACTTTAATTCCAAGGAGATTTTTTTGTCCCTTGTTCGCTTGCGTTAGATGAATATATATATATACACATATATATATATATATACATACATACATACCCACACACATACATCCAGTCGATTGCCGAGCTGTCCCTATAAATTCGTTTCGATAGCGTATATCGATCCTTTAATTAGCGAGCCCGACATACAACAGCAACGCTGAAATATTGGGCTGCTGCATTTGCTTGACGTTGCTTTATTATTTGCGGCCCTGCTCACAGCAGCAGCTTTTCATCGGCATATTTTAATTTTCTACGGTAAACTTTGACGTTGTGCTGCGCTACCGGATGATGTATATCTATCCAAGTTTTAATTTTACGCGTGTAAAAAAAAAAAAAAAAGACAGCGACGCGAAAAAAGTTTGTCTACGTAACAATTTGTGTTGAGGTGTGTCGTTTGAAAAAAAGAGCATTTTTATAGCTGTAGCAACGCTATAACGCCCATAGCGTTTGCCGAGTTAACAAGAAGAAGTATCACCAATCTTACCTAACGATAAGCAAAGTTCGACACAATTTACTTCCTTTGCTCTATATTTATCTGCCAGAGCTTTAATAACCTTAGCCTTCTTAATTGGACTACTGTTTACTTTATCCTAGGGCAGCAAGGCTCCCGGCAGCATACTGATTTTCACCAGCTAAATTTCGAGCACTTTTACATATTGTCCTATATACGTGCTTTTTCAATGGATCTTTTTCAGTTAAGCATAAAGCTAGAAAGACAAAGTTTCCAGCGAATAATAAAAAACTAGAAGCGACACCGAGAGAGAGAGAGAGAGAGAGAGAGAGAGAGAGAGTTAAGAAGTTTTTACGGATAACGCGAGCAGAGCAAAATTCAGTTAATAGTGGCGCTAGCGGTGGCGCTGGAAAGAAAACTTCGTAATTACATGAAACACCTGTATATCGGAAAAGAGGTTAGCAACACCTGCGCTGCATTAGAACTAATCGACTTCGTATAATTTATCAAGTATTTTTTCTTATTTTCCAATATAAAAATAATTCGCAATGAAAAATCCCCCGTGCAAAACCAAATGAAAAAGAAGCCTACGGAAAAGGGTATTCTTTGCAGGCGATCGTTAAAGCCAGTTCATATGGGTGTACGTATACTCATAGCACGAGGAGCGGCCGCGTGCGGAAATCAATGGAGGCGGTGCGAGTTCTCTTCTCAGTCGTGTCTTCTCCGCGCGTACACAAGCGCCCGAGCGTGAAAATGCGTATAGCCTCTCCATTGAAAATAAAAAAAAAAGCGGAAAAGAGAGAGTAGGAGAACGGTGAGGTAAGCGTGGCTTCGGAATAATCCGATCGTTGACTCGTGCACGCGCGCGCCGATACTTACTCACTCGATCCCCTCCAGCAGTATAAAGCAGCAGCAGCTCCTTGGCGGCGAGCGGCATCCGGCGAAGGAGGATCAGGAAGAATGGAAACGGGAATGTCGGTCACTGGGGCCTCTTTCCTCTTGCCTCGCGCGCGCCAGCCACCAAGCACGAGAGCATCCAGATCAAACCCAACCAGATCTCCTTCAGCCCGCTCGCGCACCTCGGGAATGTTATGAGAGCCTCGACCTGTTGAACTATCCCTTCAATGCATATTTTTACCTCCAACTTTTTATGACATTCCGCCATTCTTCGTTACTCTTGTTAACAAAAGGGTTTTATCCCGCTTTTTTCACTTTTATGGTTTTCTGTAAATTAATAAATGTAATCTGTTAGCGCACACAAACGGCAGTTGATCAAGACAGTAAAGATAAATCAGGGAAAAAATTAAACTCGTGCCTATGCAGCAGTATGAAATGTTGGCAACCGGCAATGCAAAATGTTGTCGTCCGTCGCGTTGCAGTATACGTATTGTCACAAACAAATTAATCTGGCACAATTGATATTGAATCGCACAATGACAATTGAACATGGGAGTATGCAGTTATGAAAGTCCACGAGAAAAGCGCATCCATATTTAAACGCGGGCGCTCATTGTGAGATCCATCGGACAGACGTGCAAGCAAATCACCGATAAAAGCGTTATGATGTGTCAGAGATGTGAAAAAGAGAAAAAAAAATGCGTTTTATCCGTCTGCGTTCAAACGAAGTGCCATAATTCATTGCTTGTAGGTTCATTAGTGGCATTCAAATATTGCGGACATTGAATAGCGGATTAAATTTATACATTTCCTTTTCACAAGCGAAGGATTAATAAAAAAATACCGTATGGAAGAATTCATATTTTGGCCAAAGAAATTTCTCGCTAACATTATACTAAAATGCTTCGCTAATTAAGCGGTCCTGGCGATGAAAAGAGGAGTCTTTAACGATCCCCAAGCTCCGATTGAAGCTTGCACGGAACGTTCGACCAATTAGGTCAAATGTTCAATTTTTACTGACCGTTTGCTCCGATTTATTTATTTTTTCATTATTCATTCCCACTCATTCGAATTAAAAATTATCCGAATGTGTGGATTCAATCTTTGCTAAATAAAAAATAAAAAAAATAGTGTTTTTTGACGTTCACACAGGCTGTCCTAGCAGTGAAATATTTCTCATTACTTTGCCTAACAAGTAAAAAGAAAAAAACGCGACACGTGAAAAACGTAAAGTTTTCCGTTCATAATACAACGAACGAGGGACAAAGGAGGAAATATTAAAATCGTGGCAGAATATAGCAGCGGGAAGTTGAGCATCTCAAGGCAAGCTACACCTTCATTACCACATTTATGACGAAGTTTTACGGGAGTTCGGAAGCTTTATTTTTCTATCTCTCCCTTGACGGAAAAGTTTTTCCTCGACAAAAGTTGAATATTCAGCGCTCTTGAGATTCACTGGATAAATGTTCGAGTTGTTTATCAGATTCACTGTTGCTCTCGAGAAAGTTGAACAAGGTTAATTTAATTTCACTTTCTCATAATATTAAAAGCTCTCCCTCTCTCTCTTTCTCTCTCTCTTTCGCGAGCGCGCGGGCACTCGAGGGAAGAGGAGGAACTGAGAATTCGTACTCGAGCGGCATTACATGCAATGAGATACTTACACGACAAAGCACGTTCGCTTTCCACGCGACGCGCAGTCGGAGAGAAACGAGCATAGCAAAAATTTGGCCAAGTAGAGGCGAGACAAGCCTCCGAGTGACATCGTCGAGCGCAAGAGCCTCTCGGTCCTCAACCTGGACATCCTAATTCCGTCGCGCAAAGCAACGAGCAGGCAGCAAATCGTGATGGGTTTCGGCGGCGCGGCGCACGTTTTCGCGCTCGACGAGCGCGCGCGCGGAGTGGGAGCGAGGAGGCGAAGGGGGTCATTCTCTCTCACTCCGCTGCGGAGAGCGCGGGCGCAGAAACAGGTCGCTCGCGCGCGCCAGTATTCTGGCGTCGTTCCGCGCGAACTGTCCGCATTGTCGACGGGGCTCTCGCCTCTCGCTATACGCATACGTGCACGCGCTTTCGCAACGGTTCCTGCGACTCTTGGACTTTCGTCCGCTGCCAGTGCTCCTGTGCGTCGATATACCCGCGAAGCGCGAGCAACAGTTGCAACCCGCCTCGACTTTTCGAGGATCTGCTTTTCGTTTTCTTTTCTTTGTTTTCTTTCTCTTGCCCGCCGAAGGAGAACACAACCGACGAGAGAGGATAGAGCGGCTTGCGCTCGCGCCGCGCTTTTCGATTTCTTTCCGGAGCTGGTGCCGCCGCTGCACAGGCTCACTTTCGAATTTTAGGTGAGTGACATGTCTTTCTCTTTCTCTCTTTATTTTTCCACGAGCGTCACCTCCTAGCAGTTTTTTTTTCCAATCTCGGCCTTTCGCTTCGTGCCGCGCCGAAGTCCCTTTACTTTGTGAGCTGTTTGACGTTCTTCGCTCTTTGTCGATGTACATCGAAATGAAGTCTCGAGCATCCAAGCGAGAATACAGTCGACTTTGCCGCAAAGCTCATTCGCGGGACTGGAGCCGAAATGGATTCGAAAAATAATTTGGTTTAGCAATTAAGGCGAGTGCCGCGCGAGTGTTATCGCAGCGGGCAGCGCTTCAAGTTTGGAAGGGAAAAATAAAAGTGGAAGGGAAAAGTTGCACTGGCCGGGCAGCGATCTCGGCGAGGGGCGTGTTATTTTCAGCGAAAGATACCATTTTCCCGCGCGACTGTGGAAACGCTTTTACTTTGAATCTCTTATACACGAATTAACATTCCTGCGCCGCTATGCCGCGGCACTTAACATACTTGCAACTTTCGCTTTTTCTCTACGCGCTGCAGCGCCTTACGCAATTGGTTTTTACACAATAATCCGTGCGTCGCTGGGATCGCCGCCGATCGCCGGTCACTTCATTTTTGACAACGCCGTCGCGACGTAGACTATCGCCGCAGCGTTGCCGGCGCACGGCGCGCACGGATTAATCGGGCGAATTAATGGGCGCCGCTGCAGTTCGCCGCGCTACGGCGTCGCTCCGCGGACGCAAGAGCTATTCGTTGCTCGGTGTACAGTTCGACGCGAACGCGGGCTCGATCGCGGCCAGGTGATAAATAAGAGGGGTCCGTGCTTGATTCGAAAATAGCGGGCGCTTACTCGCGTGTTTGCGTTGCGCGCGTTGAAAACGGCGCTATGGAGGTTCGTGACCTATTGCTGCTGGCCGGCTGGGGGGGCGCACGTGAGCGCAATGCCGCTCAGCACGGCGCGCGGCGGGCGGCGGCTCGCGCTCGCGCGAATTTCCCGCGCTCGGGCTCCGAATACAAATCGGCTGGAATTTGGCGAGCCGCGAGGGGGCGAGTGCGGGGGCATCGCCATTAGGCGAGTACCCGCTCGAAGCCCGTCCAGCGGAAGCGAGAGCGGGGCCAGTCAAATGAATTTATAGCTTTCATTTGGCTCTCTTTCGCTGCGGCGCACTTGTACTTTTAATTAAGTGTTCTCGAGTGCACACGCCCGGGATGGGCGCCGCCTTCGCCCGCCTGCTGCCGCCGCGCTCTCCGCGACTCTGCGCCGCACGGTTGCCGTCGCACTTTCGAGAGAGCTAAATAAAAAGGCCAGCCGGGCTTGCGTATAATCGAGGATTCAATGGTGCCAACGTCGAACCGAATGCTCGCTGAGGATCAACAAGGGCTGGGCCGCTCGATGTCTTCTGTCTCGTCGGAAGGACGGACGCACGTAAGCGCGGGTGCGTCTGCGGCAGCACGAATCGATGCCATTGTTTTGAAAAAGCCGCGGACGCGCGAACAACGGGAGAGAGAGAGAGAGAGAGAGAGAAGGAATTCCATCAAAGATATCTCGTCTCGTGCATGCGCCGCGTGAAAGCGCGGAAATTTATGCGCTAAAAAGCGTCTGCGTGCGTGCAGACGAACGCTCGCATAAATCTTGGCGCGATCTGCAGACTGCAACTCGAGCTACTGCCGGGATCAAATATCGCAAAAAGTCTGATGGATCTTTTTCCAGCAGCGCGCAGCGCGTAGAATCATATTAATATTGATGGATAAAAAAGATGTATCGACGCACAGTCTCTCGCGATATGAAAATAAAAACACACACACACACACACGCACAATCCAATGGGAACGAAACGCGCGCGCGGAATTATCCGCGGCAAAATGTAAATTGCGATGAAAAATATTGCGTTTCGATGTTTGGAACGAAAAGTATTGTGGAGCGAGCTTTTTCAATTAGCAGCAGCAGTGCGCCGCCAACAGATAAACATGCAAAGCGCGCGAAGCAAGAAACAAAAGCCGATTCAAAAATAAAAGCGCGTCAAAGCTCTGGGTAGTCGCATTCAAATCCAAATCGATGGGCCGCTGTCTTTGCCGCCGGCGCTGTCGTCCCAAGAGAGCGGAGAGAGTGCAAATCCGATTAGCCAAACAGGGAGGAGGATAGAGCTCGCGGGGAGATAAATGAAAAAAAAAATGGAAAGAAAGGTGGACAAGGGACAGGAGCCGTAAGGTCATGCGCGCGTAACGAGGGGGAAATCGACGGCTGCGGCGCAGGCACGTGAATCGCGAGCGGGGCGCGGTAAAAGGAAGCGCCGAGCCGAGTCGTACGTAAGCTGAGAATCGGTGTCGGGAGCTCTCGTGCGCGAGCAATAACGTCGTGCTACGCGCGCGTCCCCATCTGGTTAACCTGTTGATACAACAGCTCTATTTCACGAGTAATACCGCTACCCTGGCTGCACTCGGCACTCCGCGCTCGCATTGTCGTGCTGCGGAAGAATGCAGCCGGTCGCATATATATACATATATACGCACACGCAGAGGCGCGCCTGACAAACGGAACCCTCTCGTCTTGCCAAAAACGTTCTTCAACTAACTGTTGGAAACAATTAAGATAGCCCGGAGGCGATAGTTCGGAATCACGTAAATGCAGCCTGGCGTGTTCCGTCGCTATATTCCGGCCGGCCTTATCGTCTAATTGTCTCGGAGCGCCAGTCTTTGCGAAATTCAGTTCGTGCACGCGTGGCGAGCTTCGGTTTGACTCGACGAATTGGCGAGAAAATGTTGGACGGTTAATTGTCGACAAGGCGAGGTGCAAGTTTGCTTATTGAATTGTCGGCGTTTAGACGTCATCATTATTCGGATGTACCGCCCACGAATTGCGCCCAAGTTTCAGTCTAATAGAGCCGGGAGATCGCGCGTTCCTACTAGTTCACTCGCGCGTACACGTGGCGCCGCACCAGGGAGGATAAATGGATACGTGTCAGGGAAATACTTAGCAGCGAGCCGAAAGTGCAGGCTCTCTGCGTTCTAATTGTTTCTCGTGAAAAATGAAAGCTCCTCAAGCGATCCGTAGCTCGGCTTCATTTCTTCAATAGCCAGAGTAATGACGATTCCGCGAGGAGCGCTGAAAATCAGTCGAATGATCGAGCACGCGATCGAGATGAAAGAAACGAGGAGGCGCGCGCAGCTGCGGCTCGTCAAGTTCATTCCGCGATTATATCATTAAATAGAAGACGAAGGAGGCCTCGGGCGGGTTAAGCGGGCAGTGGCAGTCACAGAGACAAATTGAGAAGTGAGCCACCAGGGAAAAGGATCGGCGTCAAGATTTACCGCTTTCAATAAAGCAAGGGAGAGCTATATACGCTACTGCGGCCAGACTTATTTTCTTTGCTGTTTTTCTGCGACGGAGCTTTCGCACTGATAAAGAGTTTACTGAGTCGTTTAATTTTTTTTCTCAGCCGCGGCAAGTAATGCGAAAGTAAGTTACGATGACAACCTCAATAATCCGACTTTAATGAACAACTGCTTCTTCAACCCCAGATTATCCGTCTTCTTTATTATTATTATTATTATTATTTTTTTTTTTTCGATGAAAATGAAAGTATACCTTCCTCTTCCAATTCATTCCTCTTTAATCATACGGCACGTTAATTTTCTCTCCGCAGGTCCCTCTCCCACTGCGTGAACGAGCTTTGCGGCATATTGTGTTTGTGCCTCGGATAAAATAAAGCGCGGTCCAGATTAAGCTCTCCCTTGATTATATATATTTTTCCTTTGCACACGCTGATTGCGGATAATTAGCGCGTAATGGTTTCTCGTTAAGGGTAAAACGATTGATTTTTCGAGTGGCCCGTCCGGACAGGAAGAATAAAAGTCTACTCGCGAGATTAGTATTTGAAAGAGTAGTAAGTTTTAGCCATCGAGAGAGCTTTAATGCTGTCTTCTGGCTTGATTGGCACAATGTTGACATGGAACTTTGTTATAACTTTCTCGCGAGGAAAGTCAATTCCAGAAAAGAATCCCTCGAGAGTGACAGAAGTTTCGCCTCCGCTAGTAGGCACAGATTAACTGTGTTTTTGGACATCAATCACAAGTCAGTACGGCGATAAATCATGTCGGTCAATAATTAAATTGTCTGTCGGCTTGCTTTGCAAACCCGATATTAAGATGTTGCATAAAAAATATGTAGCAAAAAAATGCGTTGCATCCTGATACGTATTTAAAGCATTTTTATTCACAACTGTGTTTGATTAAAAAGTTCTCGTGGAATGCCAATGAAGGGATTAAAACATATTTGCAAGAGAGAGAAAGAAAGAGAGAGAGATAGATAGAAAAGGAAGGTAAAATAAAATGTTCATGTAAAACATACCATGAATAAATCATGAAGAGCGGCATTTAAATAACGTTTTTGCCGCGGGGAAAAGTTCCCCGGGCGATTAATGCGAACAGATATTTGTTTTTTTTTTTTCAAACGTCTGTACTTTTTGGGCGGAATGCACAAACGTGACATTGTCCTGACTCATTGGAGCGCGAACGTGCATGCTTTATACGTCGGCATAGGTAATTATCGATTTCAATTTAGCGGCACGTACGAGCGAGGCATATAGGTCTGACAGACGAGACAGCAAGGCGCAAAACGTCGACGGGCGAGTTAGCAAACAGTGCGTTTGTTCGGAATCGATTATGAGGCTAAAGAGTGCGGACAGGGATGCGAGAGAGCGAGCAGCGGCCGAGCGAGCACAGCGAGTACACTAGCGAGCTACGCAAACGAGCTGGCTGCTCTCACTCCAGAATTTGCCTTGCCATACAGAGCGAGTGAGCACGGCTCGACGCGCCCAGTTCCTCTGATGCATTATGCGCCGCGTGCGACTATCAGACGCCCCCTGCATTTAGCCCGAAACGCCTTCCCAACTATTTTCACATTTTACCTCTTATCGCTATCGAATTCAACCGACCCGCCAGTTAGTTCACTCAACGTTTTAACTGCAAGCCCTTATCGATGTGCACTCGCCTTCGTTCGCGCGTGAAATGT